CCCCCAAATCCCCATTAACGTTTTACATCCCTTTCTAAAATTTCCTTTAACCCTTTCTGATCTGCCCYAAATCTCCTTTAACTCTTTCTCTGCTCCTCTGAGATCCCTTTAATTCTTTCTCTGCCCCCCAAATCCCCTTTTAACCCTTTCTCTGCCCCTCTAAAACCCCCATTAACCCTTTCTGTGCTCTTCCAATCCTCTTCAATCCTTTCTGATCCCTTCCTAAAGTCTCTTTAACCCATCCTGATCCCCTCCAAAATCCCATTAGTCCTCTCTAATCTCACAAAATCCCCTTTAACCCTTTCTCTGCCCCTGCAAAACCCCATTAACCCTTCCCAATCCCCCCTAAATCCCCTTTAACCCCTTCTGCACCCCTCAAATCCCCCTTTCAACCCTTTCTGACCCCTCTAAAATCCCCTTTAACCCTTTCTGATCCCCCTCAAACCCCCATTTAACATTTACTGATCCCTTTAAAATCCCCTTTAACCCTTTCTCTGTCCTTTTAAAACCCTATTAACCCTTCCCAATCCCCCCTAAATCCCCTTTAACCCTTTCTGACCCCTTTAAAATCCCCATTAACCCTTTCTGATCCCTTTAAAATCCCCATTAACCCTTTCTGATCCCTCTAAACCCCATTTAATCCTCCCTTTTCCCCCTCCCCAGACGAGGAGCTGGAGGACAACCCCAACCAGAGCGATCTGATCGAGCAGGCGGCGGAGATGCTGTATGGACTGATCCACGCGCGCTACATCCTGACAAACCGGGGCATTGCTCAGATGGTGGGACCCCAAAATATCCCAAAATAACCCCAAAATACCCCTGGGACCCCCGGGACCCCCATCCTGACCAACCGGGGCATTGCTCAGATGGTGAGACCCCAAAATATCCCAAAATATCCCCAAAATATCCCAAAATATCCCAGAGACCCCCGGGACCCCCATCCTGACCAACCGCGGCATTGCCCAGATGGTGAGACCCCCTGAGACCCCAAAATATCCCAAAATATCCCCAAAATACCCCTGGGACCAACCGGGGCATTGCTCAGATGGTGAGACCCCAAAATACCCCAAAATATCCCAAAATAACCCCAAAATACCCCTGGGACCAACCGCGGCATTGCTCAGATGGTGGGACCCCAAAATATCCCAAAATAACCCCAAAATATCCCAAAATATCCCAAAATATCCCAAAATATCCCAAAATATCCCCAAAATATCCCAAAATAACCCCAAAATATCCCAGAGACCGCTCTGACCCATCCTGACCAACCGTGGCATTGCCCAGATGGTGGGACCCCCTGAGACCCCCAAAATATCCCCAAAATATCCCAAAATATCCCCAAAATATCCCAGAGACCCCCATCCTGACCAACCGCGGCATTGCCCAGATGGTGGGACCCCAAAATATCCCAAAATATCCCAAAATATCCCTGGGACCAACCGCGGCATTGCCCAGATGGTGAGACCCCAAAATATCCCCAAAATATCCCAAAATACCCCAAAATAACCCCAAAATAATCCTGGGACCAACCGCGGCATTGCCCAGATGGTGGGACCCCAAAATATCCCCAAAATATCCCAAAATACCCCAAAATAACCCCAAAATAATCCTGGGACCAACCGCGGCATTGCTCAGATGGTGGGACCCCAAAATATCTCAAAATATCCCAAAATATCCCCAAATATCCCCAAAACACCCCAGAGACCCCCGGGACCCCCATCCCCCCAACCGCAGCATTGCCCAGATGGTGGGACCCCAAAATATCCCAAAATAACCCAAAATATCCCAAAATATCCCCAAAATATCCCCAAAATACCCCTGGGACCAACCGCGGCATTGCCCAGATGGTGAGACCTCTAAAATATCCCAAAATATCCCAAAATATCCCAAAATATCCCCAAAATACCCCTGGGACCAACCGCGGCATTGCTCAGATGGTGGGACCCCAAAATATCCCAAAATATCCCCAAAATAACCCCAAAATATCCCAGAATATCCCAAAATATCCCAAAATACCCCAGAGACCCCCATCCTGACCAACCGGGGCATTGCTCAGATGGTGAGACCCCAAAATATCCCAAAATATCCCAAAATAACCCCAAAATATCCCTGGGACCCCCATCCTGACCAACCGCGGCATTGCCCAGATGGTGAGACCCCAAAATATCCCAAAATATCCCCAAAATACCCCAAAATACCCCAAAATATCCCAAAATATCCCAAAATACCCCTCTGACCCATCCTGACCAACCGCGGCATTGCCCAGATGGTGGGACCTCAAAATACCCCAAAATAACCCAAAAATCCCAACATAACCCCAAAATACCCCAAAATACCCCTGGGACCAACCGCGGCATTGCTCAGATGGTGAGACCCCAAAATATCCCAAAATAATCCCAAAATATCCCAAAATAACCATGGGACCCCCATCCTGACCAACCGCGGCATTGCTCAGATGGTGGGACCCCAAAATACCCCAAAATATCCCAAAATATCCCCAAAATATCCCCAAAATAACCCCAAAATATCCCAAAATATCCCCAAAATATCCCCAAAATATCCCCAAAATAACCCCAAAATATCCCAAAATATCCCCAAAATATCCCCAAAATACCCCAAAACACCCCTGGGATGCCCATCCTGACCAACCGCGGCATTGCTCAGATGGTGGGACCCCAAAATATCCCAAAATACCCCAAAATACCCCTGGGACC